GTGGCGCGACCTTGCGTCGCCACCCACCTCCACCCCTCCCCTCCTCCCCCCCCCCCCCCCACCCCTTCCCCTCTCCCCCTCTCCTCCTCTTCGCCCCCCCCCCCTCCTCTCCCCTTGAGGCTCCATTGGTAGCCTCTCCTTAACCTCCCCCACCTCTTCCCGTGAGGGGGAACATTTCGCCTGCTGGGGCCAAAGCCCCCTCCTCTTCTCACCCTCTCTGCTCCATGTCTACCTATGGAGAGAGACCAACATCATCATCATCACCACCACCACCACCACCACCGGCATCGTCTTCTGCAAGTGTACTGCTGCCGGAGACAGGACGTGTCATGGAGTCTCGCGCAGAGGTGACAGGTCATGGTGGTAGCGGTGGTGACGGCTCCCGCCTGCTGGCCATGGCTACCCTCTCGCTCCCGCAATCGGCGAATGACCCAGACTACGTCTACGAGTACGAGTATGAGGAGCACTCAGAGACTGGCTACGGATCGACATGCACAGGAACTGGCTCGACCGCCGGTCACTATCGCGTCGACGCTACAGGCGCCTCGCCGCGCTCCGGCTCGGACTCGGACTCGTCATCTACGGGCGGCATCGTCTTCCCCCGTGAGGAGCTGGCGCTGTACATGGTGCCCAATGCCGGAAACGAGGGAGTCTCCGGCCCCTCGTCGGCCTCGTCTTTCCCGCATCCGTCCACCACCCCGCGCCGCATGATCCGCGACGGCCAGGATGCTGTTGCCTTTCCGTCGGCCTCCTTCCGCGACAATGAGCTCGAAGCCCTAGTCTCGCCACGCATCCGCCTTGCAAAGACCGCCCTCGTCTCACCCGGGCCCAGGATTGCCGACGCCGATGTCACCCTCATCCGCGCCTCATCATTTGAATCTTTGCCCACCCTCGAGGCTCAGGTCACAGTTTTTGAGCGCTCCAAGGCCCTCTATCGGCCCATTCTTGACGACTTTCTGCTCTTCCCGCTCGGTGCTTCCCCCCAGACCACCCGCTCGCTCCCGCTTGTAGCCTGGTCGAACGGCTGCACCGTCCCGCAGTTCCTCTACTCGCTCGCCATCCTGCACAACATTGTCTGCGAGCTAGTTGACCTCACTGCAGAAGGCATGTTTACCCCACCGGGCCTCGCCGCCCTCGTCGATCAGGTCTATACTCTTCAGCAAGCCTGGCTGCCATCCTGGCCCTGGTGCGACTATGTGCTTGACCTCCTCCTTACCCTCTCCATGGCTGCGCGCTCGCTCTCGTCCGCGCTCGAGCTCTTTGCCAACCCGTCGAGCCGCCAGGTCCAGAGCGAGCTTGTCACTGCCGTCGCCGCCGTCGACTCTCTCACTTCGCTCACTTCGTTTGCCTCGTTAGCGCGCGTCGACTCTACCCACACATCGTCACCCTCGACCACCAACTCGCTACGTACCTCGCCGGCCTCGTCGCCCTACTCCTCCGTCGTCGAGCGCTCGCGGAGAACCTCGGCCGCCTCGATCAGCCCCGCCCTTGGCCGCACGTCCAGCCCTGCTACCGTCGCCATTGTCGCTTCGCCGCCTCGCGCTGACGTTGAGGATGACGGCTCGTTTTCGGCCTCATCGCCGACCTCGTCGCCGACACTGTTCCAGCTCGACATGTCGCCGCCGGTCTCGCCGGCAGCCGCGCCTGCGCCGGCTCCGACCTCGACACCGGCACCGCCGCCGCCGCCCAAAGCCTTGCCGCGCCATCTCTTCTCGCACAGCTCGTCGCGCAGCAGGTCGACCTCGCTCTCGCTCACGTCGGAAGCGACACCGGCGCTCTCGCCGCCGCCACCGTCTCCCGCGCCGTCGTCGATTATCTCGCGCGTCCAGGAGCTCGTTCTTGAGACCGAGCCGGCGCTCTCCATGCGGCGTTCTGGCTCGGGCGCGATCGCCTACGACCTTGCATCGACCTCGCATCTCTCCATGCCGGACCCGGCATCACCACACCGGCCGTCGCCGCTTGCGCTCACGTCGCCGTCGGGCAAGGTTTCGTCGTCGGACTCGTCCATTGGCCCGCCACCCTCACCCGATGGTGGATCGTCGCCGCAGGCCGTGGCCACTGGCCCCGAGCTCGACCTTGAGCACCCGGCGTCAGCACTCATGCAAGTCTCGCCGCTCAAGTCTGAGCTCCTTCATGCAGTTTCGATGCGCAACTATGAGGCCAAGCGCGCTCGTTTGCAGTCGCTCCTCGGCGAAATCCTCCCGCGTCGCCAGCCACCCCAGGCTGACCCCAGTGACATGGGCGAGCTCTCGACCTCGCACCGCTCGTTTACGGGCTCATCCAACTTTGACGAGCTCGGCTCGGACGAGCTCGGCGACTTGTCCAAGACGGCGACCGAGCTGGCCGACTCTGGCCCCACCACCGCCGCCGCTGTTGAGGCTTTTTCTTCCGAGCTGACCGAATCGGAACGCCTCACCAACACTGTCCTCTGTCGCATTTGCGAGATGACTGTTCTCGCTTCCGAGTTTCGCGACCACACCACAGCCTGCCGCGAGCTTGCAGAGGCCGAGATGGAGACCTCGGTGTGCGACCAGCAGCTGCTGCACCTCGCCGGAGCACTGGCCGCCGTCTCGTTTTCCAAGACTAATCCTGATGCTGCCGTCTCGACCAAGGTCCTCAACATTGTCATCAAGCACGTCAATGCTGCTGTTGACTCGCTCGACATCAACGCTTGTCTTGCTGCTAAGGAGCGCATATCTGCCCTCCAGCGCCTCATCATTGTCGCCGACGAGGACCTCGCCCACAATCTACAGGAGCTCCTTGTTGCCCTCCATCGGACCATTATGACCAAGGTGACCAACCTTGAGCGCGCCCAGGCCGCCGAGCCGCAGCTCCTTCTCGACGAGTACGACGAGTACGGGTCGGCCGACCCGGCAGCGTTTGCCTCGCACGAAGCAAGCATGGGCGGGCCGGACCTGTTCTCGCCGGCCGCAGGTAACTCGCCGGTCGGCGACGGGCACCCAGCCTCGTCTGCCTTTCCCGCCGAGCCGCTCGCCGCAACAAGCAGCCCGCTCCGATCGCGGCCAGGCACGCCTGCGTCGCCGTTGTCATCGCACGACTCCCCAGGCGCAGGCCTTTTGCACAAGTGCTCCTCGCTCTCGGGAGATACCGCTGCAGACGTCTCGCCGCTCGGCTCGCCGCGCAAGGGCGCTACCTCGACTGTTCGTCACGACTCACCGACGCACCCATTACAGGACGCCGCGGCGTCGCGCGACTCACCCGTCGGCGCTGCCACAGACCGCGGCAAGGCCTCCCTGTACCTCGGCAGAGACACTGCTGTCTCTGACGAGGTTAACAACGCACCGTCGCCTCGCCTTGCCCCGCTTGGCGCCCGCGCTCTCGGGTCTACCCGCGCCGTCTCGATGTCGGCCACCGTCCTCGCTGACCGGCGGTTTGACTCGCTCAAGCGGCGCAAAAAAGCCCGTCTACCCAAGATCTCCGACTTTACGCTTGTGCGTCCCATCTCTCGCGGCGCCTACGGCCGCGTGCTTCTGGTCAAGAAGAAGAGCACAGGCGACCAGTTTGCGCTCAAAGTCCTCCGCAAGGCCGACATGGTTCGCAAAACCAGCTCAAGCACGTCATCCAGGAGCAGACCATCCTCGCCAAGATCAATAATCCGCACATCCTCCGCCTGTACTTTTCCTTCGAGTCGGCCCGCAACCTCTACCTTGTCATGGACTTTATGCCTGGCGGTGACGTGGCTGCCCTCCTCAAAGACCTCAAGTACTTTGACGAGCTGCACGCCAAAATCTACGCCGCTGAAGTCATTCTTGCCCTCGAGTACCTCCACTCCAAGGGCATCATCCACCGTGACCTCAAGCCTGACAACCTGCTCATCTCGGAGCAAGGACACATTAAGCTCACTGACTTTGGCCTTTCCACCATGGGTATTCTCGACCGCACCTCACGCGCCCACAACACAAAGTCGGCCTCGCGCCGCCACCGCCACCGCCACCGCCACCCCCGCCTCGCACCGGCCTCGGCCGCGCCCAAGTCCTCAACCCACATGTCCCGCCCGACCTCGGCACTCCGCCACTCGGCTACCGGCGCGTCACCCAGCTTTTCTATCGTCTCTTCGTTTGCGCCCTCCTCGTCGTCTACCCGCCTCGATACCGTCGCCGAGCATGCGGCGGGAGAGTCGCTGCCGTCCAGCGCCGCCACCGTTGCCACCGACGCTGTCTCTCTCTTTGGAGGCGAAAGTCCGACTCCGTCGTCGCCGGCCGGATCCATCGCTGACCGTCGCGCTGCCCTTGCCTCGTCGCCGTCGGAAGAGTGTCTTAACTCGTCGCTGGTATCCATAAGCGGCTCGCCTGTCGCCAACCGGACTCGCTCGGCCGGCACGCCGTCCCTCAAGGAGGCCGCGGCTGCTGCTGCTGCCGTTACACCCCGCACCCGGCTACCTCCAACACGCCGAACTCGTCGGCCACTGACATGATGGTCATCCACGAGACTTCGGGCTCTGCTACCAACTTGTCGAGCTTTGTGCCTGTCGACCCGACCGGTTTGAGCTCTTCGAGCTCTTCGAGCTTGTCAGCATCATCAACTTTGCCGCCGCTGCCGCCGTCGTCGTCGTCCTCATCGTCATTGTCGTTGTCATTGTCGTCATCGTCGCCATCGTCGCCATCGTCGTCGTCGTATGGCTCGATCTCATCACCCCACCCAGAGGACAACGGACACGCCGGTGTTGTCGTTGCTGCCGACATGTCGACGTCGTCGACTGCCGTGTCCCGTTTTGACGGCTCTGCCTACTCGGATGAGGCGCCTTCTGACGTTGACGTGCTTCAGCGATCAATCGCCAAGCTTGTCAAACGGGAAAAAAGAAGCGGCGCGCTCGCGCAACTGTGTACTCGGACAACCCGGCGTCAGACGGCTCATTTGCTGCCGCTAGCTCGGGTGTGGTCACGCCTGTGCCCGTCCTTGTCCCAAGCCCACTGCTCACCAACTCGCACGGCGGCGTTGAAGTTTCTACCGATGACAAGTACGGCCTCACCATATGTACCATGGCCTCCCCCTCGGCGCCAAACCTGTCACCATCGCCGGTTCCCGACAAGCGTCTTCAGCCGTCGGTGCCGCCACCGATTGCTCTCAGCAACTCGGGCTCGCTTTCGGGCTCGGTCGCTCGCGTTCATGTCACGCCCGACGGCACCATTGTGCTTCCGGGCGAGGCCGACTGCGGCGACTCGCCGCGGACGGTCCACCACGGCTCGCGGTACGCAGACAGCAAGACACCGAGCGGGCGCCCGTCGCCAGCCCAGACCACACCGTCGTCGGCTGCGCGTGTGTTGTTTGCCGGTTCGGACGAGTCGGGCGGCAGTGCTGTGGGCAATGGCAATGGCAAGGGCAAGGGCAAGGGCAAGGGCAAGGGCAAGGGCAAGAGCAAGGGTAAGGGTAAGGGCAAGAGCGGCAAGCGCAGGAGCACCAGCAAAGATGCCAGAGGCGTGGGCATGCTGCAGCCGTCAGGGCTCTCGATTGTGGTGCAGGAGGTGGCTGCTGGCCCGCGAGCACAGCTGGTGGCAACGCGGTCATCACAGGCATCGCGGTCGTCACCGCGGGCGATGCGTTCGTCGCGGTCGTCGCGGTCGTCGCGGTCGTCCGGCTCGAGCACGCCCGCGCGGTCGCGGTCGATGTCGCCGCAACGCTCACCGCAACAATCGCCGCAGCGGTCGCCACAGGCAGCCCAGGCGAGCCCACGCCCGCCAAGGCCGAGCCCGCACGGCATCCGGCGGCGGCGCGGCGCGTCGGAGCTCTCACCGTCGATCATGTCGTCATCGTACTCGGCGGTCAACATGTCACTCGGTGAGACGCCGGACCCGAACATGCGGAACGTCTCGCCGTCAGCGGCAGTTCCACCAGCGATGCGGATGCGGATGCGGCGCAACTCAACCCACTCGGTAGCGTCGAACAACTCGTCGTCGCTAGGGCCAATGGCGCTCGACCTCATCGACGAGGATACCGAAATTGGTTCGCTGAACGGCTCAGGCCCGCTCAACGCCATTCCCACGGTTGTCCGACCTGACGGCCATCGCGACTCGTCATCGTCATCGTCGTCCGAGTCGCTCTCGTCGTCGACCTCGTTTGGTCTTGCGTCGTCAACCCAGGCCCGCGGCATTATCGATGTTGCCGACGTGACGTCGCCGACCACGCCGATTTCACCGTCGGTGCCGGTCACGCCGCGGACGCCGCAGCGCAGCAGCAAGTACTACAAGGGCGGCTCGGACTCGTACTCGCGACCGCCAATCCCACAAACGGCACCGCGGCGGATCCAGACCGGCGCCGCGCCGTCCGATTCCAACGAGCGCTCATCCGGGCGGCTCAAGCTGTCAGACACCTACCGCGACCAGCAGTCGATACTCCTCGCCCGGCCAATCTCTGCGGGGCACTCGTCGGCGGATGTTTCGTCTGGCGGGACGTCGAGCGCTGCCGCGGGCGCGGTCGGCGGCTGCGCGCCGGTTGTCGTTCCCAACGACGGCTCGGCGACTCGCTTTGCCTCGATGTCATTCAAGCGCGGTGCGCAGAAGAAGCACTCGTTTGTGGGTACGCCGGACTACCTCGCACCGGAGATTATCATGCATGGCTCGCACGACGAGCGGGTCGACTGGTGGGCGCTCGGAGTTATCCTTTTTGAGATGCTCACCGGCGTCCCGCCATTCAACGACGAGACGCCGCTAGACATCTTTGAGAACATCATCGAGCGGCGCATCGTGTGGCCTGACGTGCCCGAGGAGATCTCGGAGGAGGCCAAGGACCTCATCTCCAAGCTGCTCACCATCGACCCGCGGAAGCGGCTGGGGCGGCACTCGGCGTCCGAGGTCAAAAGCCACCCGTTCTTCCGCGACATTGACTGGGACGACCTCCTCGACCGCGACGGCCCGTTTGTGCCCAACCCGGACGTTGACTACTCGTACGACCGCGGTGCGACTGGCGCCGATCCGGCCGCCGACATCACCGCCGAATTCGGCGACTCGCACGACGGCGGCGCTGGGCCGGCTCCGGACGAGGACGAGGACGAGCTGACCCGCTTGCTCGAGGGCAAGACCTCGCTCATTACCTTTACCGGCGACGATGATGTCGAGAAGGAGCTTGACTCGCTCAACACCAAGCACGCATGGGGAACGTACACCTACATCTCAGTCGCCGCTCTCAACGACCTCTCTGAGCGCCAGCTCAAACAGGTCACTGCCATGGAAGACGACGCCAGTGACCGTGGCCGCCGCGACTCGGGTGCCTCAGAGCACTCCATCGCCCGACTCCGTCGCGAAGCCAGCACCATGGACAGGCTCCGCCGCGACTCGGGCGCGTCCACAAATCCCTCGAACTAAAGCTAAAGACACCTGCTCTCCTCTCACACTCGGATCACCACGCACCGCACCGCGTCCAAGCCGTCGACCTCGGTGCCGCCCAGTGCATCGGGCGGAAGAACCACATCGTCCGCCGAGCCGACACGGAGGACAACAGACTCCAGCGCTCGCCCCACGCTTGCACGGTCGGCGTCGAATCCGCGGACTGCGTCCAGAACCTCGGCCAGCGCGCCGCCTTGGTCATCACCCTTGAGCCCGTGAAGACAGACCGAAGCTAGAGCGTGGGCCCGGTCCATCCACTCGGCGACGGCAGCGCCACTTGCCGCCCGACGTTGTGGGCAGTGAACGCAGCCAGTGATGTTGCAGACTCGCTGAGGGCTGCCAGAAACGCATCGTCGACCGGTGCCCATGACGGGAGGTGGAGAGAGAGCAGAGAAGAAGTGAGGAGCGGAATCAGGGCATCGAGCATGACCTCGCCTTCCATCTCCGACATCAGCTCATGGTAGCAGCTGCAAAGATCGAGGTCGGTGAGGGGAGCCGGCCGTGGCGCGCTCAGTGCGCGGGCACATCCGGAGACACTCACGGAGATGACGGTTGCGGCGGACAAGACGTCGAGCAGGTCGGCAAGGTCTATGGGGGCGGTGCCACTGGCGCGGACTACACCCCATGGCACCGGCGAGCCGAGATCAAGCAGATTAAGGCTGGACGAGCCGCTGATGTTGAGGTCAAAGCCAGAGACAGTGTCAAAGGCAGCCCCCAAATCGGCTGCAGCGCCGGGCGGGAGTGCAGTGTACTCGCGGAGAGCCAGTTGCTGCAGCGAGGTCATGCTGCGGCAAACAGTCGTGCAGGCCGTGGCTTGGAGCTCGGGCGACAGGGCCGACACGTCGAGGCTGGTCAACTCGGCCGTGCTGGCAGCGTCAAGGAGCGCCGCCAGCTCGTCAAGCGAGAGATGGACGCAACCGGCAATGGCAAGGCTGCGGAGCACACCGCCGCAAACCACCTCGCCGACGACTGCCGCGAGCGTCGCACCGCTCACATCGGTGCAGTGCGAGAGGTCGAGTGAGACAAGGCCAAGGGTGGCCAGCGGCGAGCAAAGGTCCGAGACGGCCATGGCCTGGGAAACGACGTCATCGAGGCTCAGCGCACACGACGAGGCGCCGCTGAACGGCGAGACGCCTGACGGCATGACGTCGGCCAGCTCCGATGACTCGCCGAGCGGATAGGCCCAGGCGGCGTCGCCGGCGGCAATGGCACTGTCATCACGCGGGACAACAGGCTCGCCGCCGGCCAGGGAGAGCACTTTCAGCGATGCTGGCCTATTAGGCATGCCAATGCCGAGCACGTCAAACAGATAGGTGTGCAAGATCTGCGCTCGAGGAATGGCTGCGGGGAGCCAGGCCCAGTACGCGAGCGAGAACTGGTTCGGCGGCGCGAGGCTGACCAGAACGGCGAGGAGTGCGCGCGGCGAGAGGACAAGCGGGCCAAAGGCAGCTCCAAGTTCGGCCATAAACTGTACGGCGTGATCAAGGAGAACGGCGCGGACCTCGAGAGGCGCCGCGGCGAGCTGTGCGTCGGGAAAGCTTGCCAGGTTCGGCACGGCGGCCGCGGCTGCGAGGTGAGCAAGTGAGGGGAGACAAGCGGGCCTCTTCGGGCGATGGCACCAGTCGACAAAGTCATGTGAGCGGAGTGGGAGATTAAAGAGCGGGATCTCGAGGGCGAGCTTGGCGGAGAGGCGGGCGTAGGGGAGGGCGGCCTCGGCATTGGCCAGGTTGCGCCATGTCGATGCATTGTGGAGAACGACGCGGAGCGCGCCGTCTGGCGCAAGATGTGGGACCGAGACGACGACCGGAGTGTTGCGATAAACAAGCTCGACACGGGCCACCAAGCCTGTGGCCATGAGCGCATAGGCGTGGAGGTGTACGTCGTCGGGGACAGACTCGTCGGGATCGAGCGAGAGCAGGGCCAGAGCGGGCGGAGCAATCGAGACCACCACGTCGTCGGTGTGGCCCGAGCGGACGCGGTACCAGCCAGCGCCATGGTTTGGGCAGGCACACACTAGCCGCCAGCTGCCGTCATCAGCGTGGATGGTCTCCCATGCCAGCGGCGAAGCGTGAGGAGGAGCAGCAGCGACGGCAGCGGTGCGAAGGGCGTTCGGTGAGGAGCAGGCCGGCGAGGGAACGAGAGCGAGGGCATCATAGGCGTAGCAGGCCGGTGCATCAGCATGGAGCAGAGGAAGATGGAGCTCGTCCAGGACCACAAAGTCGTCCGAGTACAGATACGCTGCGTAGACGATTACCGGCGCGTGGGCGGTGAGGACGGCGTCGACGGCCCACCACGACACGCTCCGCCCACCCAGCCTTGTCACCGCCCGGTAGCCGTTGGCCGAGTATGTGAGCGGAGGCAAGGCTACCGAGGCCACGGTCTCGGTGGATATTGCATATGGATGGCGGAGGAAGATGAGCAGCTGGAACAGGGTCTTGTTGCCCATGGTGGACTGGGTGAGGGTGTGTGAGGCGTGGTGGGGAGGTGCCTGATCGCGATCGCGGTCGTGTTTGCGGTGAACATGTCACCAAACAGGAAAAAGCCGTCAAGACCTGGCGCTGGTCGCCGACTGGGGTGATGGCGTCAGACGGACATGGGTGTTCGCTATCTCTTGTCTTGGTATGTGGAAGGGAGGGAAGGGGCAGGGGGGGGGGGAGGTAGTACATGCATGCATGTGTGTGTGTGTGTGTGTGTGTGTGTGTGTGTGTGTGTGTGTGTGGTGGTTGTCGAGGGAGCGTGCGCAGGACGTGGGGGGTGGAGGAAGGAGGCGCGCTCTGGCTACCGACTGACGGATGTACGTGCATGCGGTTGTGCTTGGTGTGTGTGTGGTGTGTGTGTGGTGTGTGTGTATGTGCGGGGTTTGGTGTGGTGTGTGTGGGAGTGGGCGGTGGGCAGACCGACAGGCAGCACCAGGATCAGGACCAGGACCAGGACCAGGATCAGCATCATGGCCGACGGAATGGAGACATGGAAGGTGGACGCGTCTGCAAACGGATGCACGGGTATGTTCTACCGCACCAAGCCCGAGATGTCGGCTACTTCGTCTGACGCGGACTGGCCGCGGAATGGCGCTCTGCTCAAGGGCAAGGAGTCGGATGACCATCCAGGCTGGGTCCAGTTTGAGGACGGCCGCTGGCTGCCGACTACGCAGCACGGGACCCAGATCTTGTTCAAACAGTAGCATCCCCCCTATCTCCACCCTTATCCCTTCCACACTCCTCATGCTCGCGGTCTGTCCCTGTGATCACGCCCACACTCGTCATTGGCGTGGCGATCGATAAACACTCGCCGCCCAACTCCCAGAATCCATACACGTTGACGATGGAGACCTTTCTGGTGCAGGTTTGGTCCTACCCCGTGGTTGGGGACGATGCCGGCCCTAGCTGGGATGAGCTGTGATGGGCATGAGGCCTGACGGGCATGAGCCTTACGGTCAACACGGCGCTATTGTTGGCCTCCAAACAGCTGGGAGATGCTGATCCAACCGAGTTGATTGACATCGTTCAACACATCGTCGTCTCAATGTCGAACAACCGTGTTGTCCAACATGTACAGCAGGAATTGTCCGTTCAACATTGGGCCAGCCAGCCTTTTCTGGAATTGCTATGACTGTCCCTTGTGCCGCCTGCAACCCCCCCCCCGTATTCTGTCCACACACACCACTCGACTTGATCAAACGACCATGGAGACGGCGGCACTCTCCCGCCGGGAGCAGCTCGAGCAGTGGAAGCTGGCCCGAGCGAAGAAGAAGGCCGAGGAGGCCGAGAAGCGGTATGTATCATGTACACACTCCCACTGTTCCCTTGTGTACCTCTACTCTCCCCCATCTTTCCTATCCCTCTGGATACACCCGCCTGTATGCTCCCCTGTTTTGGCGCCGTATTCCTCACCCAAATTCATTCAAACTTTTGCTCCTTCGCCCGCTCGCCCCCCCCCCCTCCCCCCCCCCCGTTCATGGTACGCCTCATGGTCTGGTGGCCACAGTAAGGCGCGCATGAAGCGGACAAACGAGCTGCGGAAGCGAACAGAAGCGCTCAAGGCGCTTACCGAGTCTGCCAAGAAGCAGAGGCGGGCTGGCGGTGGTGGCCTGCAGGCGACCAAATCGGCAAGAAAGGCGCCCGCTGCCGCCCTCTCGCCGCTCGCTGATCGTAATGGTGGCTTGGTCGCCGGCGCTGTCACGCCCATGCGCCAGCCGGTCTTTGATGCCAGCCGCTCGCTTGGCGCTCGCATCTCGCAGCCGCGCGAGGCGCGCCGCAACAAGCGGGCGCCTGCTGCCGATGACCTCGCCCCCGCTGGCCATGTGCCAACTACCTTTGGCATGTCGCGCAAGCCGGCGCGCCCGGCTACTCGTGCCCCGGCGGCGCGTGCTGCTCCAGTCGCTCGTGCGCCGCCGACCCCCTCTCGCATGCACATCCCGACCTTTGCGGACGAGCTCTCTACCAAGCCGGCGGCAGAGGCCACGCCTGCCTCGGCCCCCACGCCTGCGCTATCGCCTGCGCCCGCGCCTCCTGCAGCTGCGGCTGTGGCTGCTGTGACTGCAACTTCTGCGTCCAGCGAGTCGACGCCCCAGCGTCGCGGCCCGACCCAGCCAGGCGGATCGGTGGTGAAGCGCGCGCTGTCGGACGTTACCAACTCGGTCGGTAAGCACCGTGGCTTTGCGCCTCTGCACAAGAAGGATGCAGTCATCATGCACGTCGGCCCGCTGTCGGACGACAAGCTTTTGGCCAACGCCATGACGGCGACTAAGAACGGCGACTACGACGCGGCGCTGCGGCTGTTCCAGGACGAGATCTCGAGCTCGCTTCACGGCGAGGCGCGGTACTGGATCCAGTACGCCAAGCTGCACGAGGCGCGTGGCTCGTACGACGCGGTCATTGCAACGTACGAGGCCGCGCTCGAGGCGTGTGCCAAGCCCGACGCCGAGCTTCAGGCTGGACTGCAGGCATTCTGCGGGCGCGCCCACCAGGCCAAGCTCGCGGCGGCGACGGCGTCGACAACCATGTCGATGCCGGTCACTCCGCGCAAGTTTACCAAGCTTGCACAGGCTATTTCGCAGATTGCCGCGGACACGATCGAGGTTGCCGAGTCGATGGCCGAGCTCGAGGCCGCGACAGCGCTTCCGCCGTCGCCCGACGCGCTGCCTGCACCGGCCGCGCTTGACGAGGCCGAGTCGGATCCGCTTGCCTCGCCACCAGCCCTAGTCCTCTCCCGGTCGTTCCACGCTTCGCTGACCAAGAAGCCGCAGACGCCCAGCACGGCGGCTGCGCGTCGGGCCGAGGCTGCCGGCGCCGGCGATGACTCGCCGCTGACGGCAGCCATCAAGCGGCATCAGCCGCGCTCTGAGCGGGCGACTGGCGGTGTTGGCTTTTCCTCCCCCGACGCAACGGCACGTACCTCGGTTGTGATCATGACGCCGGTCCGTGCCCCCTCGCATCTCGGCGACGGCATGGTCCTCACCCCCGCGCGCCGCTCGACTCGCGCCACAAAGTCGGCCCACAAGCGCCCAGTCACGTCGGCCACGCTTGCCGACACTGGCTACGCGTACGCGCCCAACCCCAATCTGGAGGTCGGTGACCTACCGGTGGCCGGCACCGTGACGCCGATGACCAAGCGGCACCATCGGGCGGTGACCACAAGCAAGAAGGCCGTCTCCTTTGCCCGCACCCTCACCGAGGTCAAAGAGTACAACGTCGTCTCGCCGCTCTTTGCCAAGGGCTCGCCAGCGCCGGTCATGGCTCCGCTCAGCGACGAGGCCGACGCGGCTGACGAGGCCGAGGAGGCCGAGGAGGCTGAGGCCAAGCCCTCGCTGCCGCCCGCGCGTGTTACGCGGTCACGGTCGCGGTCGCAGACCCGTGTCGTGCCGGTGGGTAGCGACGCCGACCAGCACGCACACAACGGCGAGGCGGCCGATGATGATGAGGCGGTCGACAGCGACGTTGACTCGCCGTCGTCGCGCCCGCGGTCGCGGTCGCGGTCACAGACGCGATCGCGGTCGCAGACACGGTCGCGGTCACAGACGCGTTCGCGGACGACGCGGTCGCGGTCACGGTCGGCTGCGGCTGAAGAGCCGGTCACGCCCTCGCGCCGCTCGGCCCGGCTCGCGAGCAAGACCGCCACGCCGGTCGCGACCGAGGGCGCCGATGACGGCCTTGCTCGGAGCCTGTTCTGATGTTCCGAACCTTGCCCATCCATGCTCTAAATGTACCTTTATGCATCGCATTGCCCAGTAGCTCAGTCGTCACTCCCGCCGTCGCCGTCGTCGTCTTCAAGATTGGCCAGGGCGGCGGCGTGTGAGTGCGCGTCGAGCTTCCAGATCTTGTGGTCGCCCGAGATGGCGATTGGGACGGTGAGGAGGCGCGGGTTGGCGCACACAAAGACATACGGCGACGAGTTGTCTTCGCGCACCTCGTCGGACGCCGACGCCACGTACTCGTCGTGGGAGAGAACGTCGGTGACGGTGACGCAACCGAGGAGGGCTGCGGTCGGGTACGAGGCCGGAAACGGAATGTCGGTCGAACCGACGTACTGGCCCTCGACCTCGGCGATGTCTTCGTCGGTCGGCTCGCGGACAGTTGAGGCGATCCAGAGCCGCCCGCGAAAGTCTGAGCGCCACGTCCGGCCCTCCACCCGCTTGATGCCGGCGACAAGGAGCGAGGCCCACGGCTGGTGCATCGAGAGCGCCATGCCGCGGTCCTTTTCGGCCTTGGTGCGCGCAAATGGCGAGTTGGCGGCGGCGATGGCGGCAGCCTTGGCCGCCTCTTCGGGCTCGACCGGCGGCGGGAGCAGGTTCGGGTTGCCGGCCACCATGGGAATGGGAAAGTAGTCGTCGTGCTGCAGGACGCCATGTCGCCGAGCGCGTTGCTGTTCAGCGACGGCGTCGCGTGCGGCGGCCTTGAGCTTGTCGCGGTAGTCGGGAGCCACAAACATGGGTGGTGGCCTGGAGAGTGTTGGGTTGCGGTATGTACCAGCGTACGAGAGGAGCTCAACGTTGCCGTGCGGCGCAGTCTCCTCAACCGGCCGCAGCGCGCGCGGGTCGTGGATCTCACTCTCGGCTGCCGGGACCCGCGCCGACGCGCCCGGGTTGGTGACCAGGACCCTGCGCCCAGCGAGGTCAAAGGTGATGGTGGTCCGCATCTTGGTCCGGTCGCGGGCCTCAATCTTGGCATCCTCGACCGCCGCAGCACGCTTGGTCACTGCGGCGCGCTCAGCCGGCGAGAGCCACACGTTGGAGGTTTGGAAGTAGTCGGCCTGGTCGTCGATGATCTTGTTGCGGACCGCGTACTCGCGCTCTTGCTGGAGCAGCTTGGCCGTCCGGGCCTGAGCAGCCTTGAGCGCTTCGGCGCGCTCAGCCTCAGCCCGGGCCACCCTTCGACGCACCTTGTTCGAGTCGCGCTTGATCTGCCCGCGCGAGCCGACGGCCTCGCCGCAGTGTGCGCACGGGCCCCAGCCCTCGGCCTCGCATACGATCTTGCCGCACTTGAGACAGTTGGCAAGAAGTCCGTGGACCCGGGCCTGGCATCCGCACGCGCCCGACGCCGTCCGCAAATGCGCTGGCAGCTGCCGCAGCAGCTCGAGCCCACCACGGACTGAGCCCTTCTTCCTGCTGTACTGCGACGATGCTGCGTTCTTTGAGTCAAGACTCAGCGTTGTCGCCGCTTGCGGCTTGTCGGTACGTGCAGCTGCGTCGGTACGTGCAGCCATCTCGCCACTCGCAGCCATCTCGCCACCCGCAGCCACCCCGCCACTCTGCGCCGGGTTGCCACCCGCGGGCGCATGGTCAGCCGACGACGATGCAGCGGACTTGATGGTGATACGGGCCATGAGGCTGTTTGCAAAGGCATCGATGCGCGGATCGGAGGGTGAGACGTCAATAAGAGCAGCCAGATAAGCAGCAATGGCCTCTTTGTCGCTAAACTCGGCCAGGTAGCCAGGGAGCTCTGGCCCAGGATCAAAGCCCAGCAAGTCTGCCAGAGCCGACGGCAGCCAGTCGCTTAGCGGAGTCGTCGAGAGCTCGTCATTGTCCAGCACGCTCGCCTTGGTCCGCTTCTTGGGATTGATCACCTTGAGCTTGCTCCGTTTACCTCCGCGACGTGGCATGCCAGCTGTTGGAGAGGGTGAGGTGGGCAGGAGGGGGGAGGGTTTTTCCGGGGGGAGGGGGGGTGGAGGGGAGGGGAGGGGAGGGTGACTGGCTTGGCGACTGGCATATGATTCGAATCGAATGGAATGGTTTGGGGGGTTGG